TGAATCAACTAACATTACTAGAGTAAGAAAATGTTTTTAGAAGTAAAGACAAATATGCTTCATAGCATATGCTCGGGATGCACAAAATCTATGTCTAGCAGACTGGCTGAATTTATGCGAAATTAATCGTTGGCAATCTTGAGTAACTTGTCAAGATATTGTACGACTTACGTACATGGAGTCACGCGAGATCTGCTATGACTATCATGTGCGGCCAAAGTGATTAGCTTGTCATCTCAGTCTGATGATGAAATAAAGTCAAAATATTACTACATTATTGTATATTCTCTCTTTTATCTTAAATATCGTGTTTTTAAAGATGGATATTGTATTTGTAAATTGTTTCTTTTTTTATTTTATTAATATGTCTGCTGCAAAGTTGAGCATGTAGCACAGTTATATAATATATCAATTACGTTTTAAAACGATAAAAATCTAAGAAGAAAATGATCACCCATATTGCTAAATGAGCAGATCACAGTGCGAGGAAAAAAATCCAATACGAAAAATTGACAAGTAAGAGATGCTGTTGTTCTCTAAAACATTTTAATGCATAATCGAACTTTCCAAGTTATTGAAGAGCATCAGTGAAGAGAGGGTCAACTTTTAAACGAAATACACCGAAAAAAATCAATTAAAACTACCTAGAATACATTTTATTTCAATGGTCGAATCATATAATTTTACCTTTTGCAGTTGGTTCTTCGATATATTGAAACTTAATAACACTTGTCAGCACGCTTTATTGTCGCTTGTGTCTTCTATCTTCCAAGAAGCAAATGAAAGGCATCAGCAGTATCTCTATGGAAAGCTTTTTCTACAAATAATACTTTCATTCTTGACATTCCTCAGAGCAGTAAAAATTGTAAACATTTAAAAATTAAAGGCGGCAACATAATACATTCTTTTATCTATGCAAAGATGCATAATCTAATCATTTATATACCACTGTAATTTGTCTCTTTGCATTCACAGAAACAAAAATGATCAATACGAGCAGAGTGCTGGTATAGAGGAATATTAAATCTTTGAAAATCTTTCATTGCTAAACTTTGCTTCATGATCATTTGGATCGATTGTCAGCTGAGACTTAAGAGTTTGCAGGCGATCACGTTTTTCTTCCCAATTTAAGTTCTGACAGAAAAACATGTTTTTATTCTTCTTTTCAGAACCTCAAGTATGACAAATAATTTCTCTAGACTGCAATACTATTCTCAAAATTTTAAAATGCATGATTAACTATTACAACTTTCACAAAAAACATATGTAATTTATGCAGTTTTGAAAATTGATAATAATAAATAATTCAATAATAAGCTGCCCAAGCTTAATTTATGTTGTCTTGTCTTTCGATTAATACAACTTACTTATTTTGGCGACATTTGTCACAATCAAAGACTTGCGATTTGTTTACATCATTGAAGCACTGAAATAGAGAAAGCCAGAAAGTGCGTCAATAATTTTTTTAACAGAAGCTTTCACAGTGGTATACATTTAGTTTCAATTACAATTATTATTCCAGGAAACACGAAAAATTTCCAAGTACAACTAATGCATTTGGCATAATACATATGAATTTAAGGTTACTGCAATTGATAAGCAAAGTTAAAAACTTCAGGACGTGAGCAAATAAGTGTAAATATTGATAACTAATTACTAACCAAGTAACGGTATAGATTCGACGTCAATTTTCGGTTTATCACAATAAATTTATCGTCCGTATATTCAGGTGAAGGGTTTAACATCAAAAATTTGGGCAAAATTGCAATCAAAACAAAGGCACATAGCAAGTTTATCTTGATTAACGTGATTTTCCCAGTTTTAATCTTGTACACTTGGCTCTGTCTTCTCAGGCAATACTTTCGCAGCAGACCTTGCACTCGGTTATTAATTGGTGAATATTTTTATCAATATTTTTTTGAGCCTTGATAATGATAAACTTAAAGCTTGATAATGACTTTGAAATGAAGTCGAGTTATTGCTTTTAAATCTTGTTACATGCCTTTAGTGTTGTTCTGAAGGTGATTTAATAATATAGTTGAGCTACAATAATTTGTTTTGACGAATGCCTAATTATTTACTTTCTTTTCTATTATAAAGAAATTAACTGATAAAATTTTTTCGTGCACTGCTTTGTTGTGTTTTTTGTCTTGACAATGGAACTCATTCAGTCTTAATGGGGGACTGTGGTTCGATGCAGCCACACGCATTGCATATCAGGAATTTTTACATTTATAGAGGTGAAATATTCAAATTACCGTTATAAAGTATTTGAAATTGGCTACTAGATTGTTCGTTAAATAACAAAAACAGATATGTGCGTCGATTATTTCACTCACCTTGGCTTTCACAGCAAGCATTTCCCCCAATTTCAATAGCAGTATCTTGTAATTAAAATAACTTTAACTCTAACCACAGAATAGTGTTTATGCAGAAAGGTCACTCTGATGTGCACGGCGTCTTCATGTCCGCCATCATTCCAGCAAGTTGATGAGCGTTTTCATTTGTTTCCAACCGCTAAAACAACATTACGTCATTTCTGAGTAATGAATACGATAATATTTCGACTCAAGAAATGAGTTTGGATCATTTTAGTTGTTAGGCGCAAGTGCAAAACCCTAGATATCTTTCTGGAAATATGGCGGCCGATATACGCGCGGCCCAACATGCGTAGGAAAAAAAGCATAAAAAGCTCTCACGCAAGTGATCCTTCTGCATGTTCCATACTCTGTGCCCTAACGTCAAATTTTCTGTTTTGTCGTTACTATTGTCTCGGTTCAAGTTGTCAGTGCTTTTGACGTAAATACGAGTCTCTTGTAATTGCACCACAAATGTCGTTAAATATACCTTTACCTAATCTTCCGAAAAACAAAACACGTGAGTGTCAAAGAATGTTTTGGAGGAATAAGATGGTTATTTGATAAGATAATATATAAGATAAAGCATGTATTCAACTATTTACAAGCAAAGCCAAGAAAGGCTTTAAAACATGAAATAGAATGGTCTTTGGCTGAAATAAAGATTAATAACCTTTTTTCATTAAAAGACTTGTTAGTCGACAAATTAAAATTTAAAAATAACTCTTTTTAAGGCGGAAGCAGTATCTTTAAGGGCGTGGTATGATGGCAAATGGCTATTTCAAGTCTTTTTTAATTCAAAAGTCAATTTAAGACTATCAGTGAAATGCATGCAGTAGGTTTGGTTTTATAAGGTTCATCTTCAGTGTTTGTTGCATCTTGTCTAACATACTCATTGTAAGATTTAACGACTATGATCGTTAAATGAAGATGAATCCTGTATTCAAATTTCTATAAAAATGTCCATTTCCCTTAGGCATTAAGGAAATAGCCTGGTAAGGAGGTGACTTGACAAAAAGTGGCGGTGTTGATTTTAGGAGCGGATGGGTAGTGCAAAAACCGAATAGAGCGTATAGGTTTGAAAACAAACTATCACAAAGCGTAGTTCGAGCAGAAAAAGTGACAAACAAAGATCACACTCGAAACTGGTTATCAATCAAACCAAGACGAACATATTCAAATAGTTTCTAACAGCACTTCTTCTACAGTTTTATCTATAGTGCCCTAATCTGTGTGTTCGATTTCTTGGATGATTTTTTTTTGTTCCTTTTCCTTCATTTTTGAAAGTCTGTTTAAAGGCAAAGTGTCCGGAAAGACTATTTATGATAAGGAGTATTGTTGAATTTACGAATGTGCTTGATGAAACATTTCTCTTTTCTAATGATCGTTTAATGACAACAAATTCATTCAAATGCTTGCTATAATCGTATAAAAAAATTATGTTTAAGAGGACAACTAATTACTTTGTCAAAAACATTGTTTCAATGTGTCGGACATTTTCTTAGCCAACGAGGTCAGCTCTTTGAAATCATTTATTAAAAACACGTGATCTTTCTTTGGAAGTGAAGCCATTGTGTTGAGTTCATATTTGAAAATTCCAGAACCCACTCCAATGGTGTATATGACTACCCCGTGCTTCTTTAGTCTCTTAGCTGGCTGCCTTACGCTATCTAAACTTCGTCCATCCGTCAACACAATTAAAACCTTCTTTGCATCTAAGTCAGTTTTGAAAAGAGAAAAAGGTGCAATAAGTAAACAGAAATTCATTTTGTCCTACCTTAACATTGCTTGGAATTTTTACATTTTAAATGTTGATGTCAGTTGTCTACCCCAGTTCTTGTGTGATCTTATTATAGCTGAAGAACAATCTTTTCTAAAATATTTTTCTTTGCTAATGTTCACTTCTCCTTTTTTTTCTGTTTACCTTGTGCACTTCTTTCGCCATTTCTTTTTTGAAACATTTCAATTCTGGCATGTCGCAATGCAGCTCCAGTTCTTGTACCCCACCACAATAATCTATACTACTGATGGCCCAATGAAGCTCTTGTTTGATGCAAACATTTGCAAGAATTTGATTTCCAACGTGGATTTTGAGGAATACTTAATCACTGAAACGCGTGTATTTTGAGGTGATATTTTAAAGTTGTCCAGAAGCCGTTTGACGAATGTAAGAATTTGACGAAACTTATCGGGTCCTATGCTACTGGAACCATCCAACACAAAGCCAAGGTCTATCGAGTCTTGACATATAATGCTCTCACCTAAAAATATTGAAGCAATTTGATACAACCTGGGAGAAGACCAACAAAAATTTAAAGAGAATAGCTCCTTTTGAGCAGAATGTTACTTGATCATATATCTGATTGAACAGCACGTAGCTCAAAATGATGAATATTTCTTAGTTTTCACTCAACTCCGACTAAAATATGAAGCATCTTTTATGTTTGACACAACTAAGACTAACTTAGCCATTTTCCATTTATATGAATTACATCCTTCATGTTTTTTCATATATATACCAGCGACACTACCTGAGCCACTAGAAGAGCCACTCGAAGAGCCACTAGCAGACCCACTACCACTTGCCAAGTCACTCTTTACACGAATTTCTTTGATTCTCAGTTCTTTTAGGGCGGTAATTTTGCCCATACTCTGTTCAATCTTTCCATTACCTTTTTGTCTTCGTCTAGAGAAAGCGAATAATATCGGGCAAGGTCAAAATAAACAAGGTAAATTAGCCGAAATATGTTTGATCCTTATTGTTTTATAAAATGACCGTGTTTTTTGAAAACTAAAGACTTTTTATTCTTGTTAAATGTTTTCATATAGGCTTAAGCTGATTTATTTGTGCAAACCATGTAATTACGTTCATTCAGGGAGTGGCAGAGAAAACATGAAATCTGATATAAGAGAATTCCATCTCGTAGATGTGAAGGATATGACTTAAGAAATGTCATGTTTTTTGTGTTTGTGGATGTTCATGTCTTCGAACATACGCCAATTGGAGTTTTAAATGCCTTTTGCTAAGCATTTGATGCGAGATTACCATGTTTTGAAAACACATTTTGTAAAAGTTCCTTTTTCGAGTTTCTGTAACAATGTGATGTTTCACCTTGCTTTAATATTTAGCAAGTTTTTCTTAGCAATTTCTTCGCCATAAATTGTTTGTAAAGCCTGTGTAGTGTTAATTTTCTATTTCAAGTTTACCAGATGAATTTTTTTTAACAACTGAGTAGTTAGGGAAAGCAAAAGTACAATTTAGCTACGTATTTCAAACTATAGCTGATTTATCAGCATGGCATATAATATTTTATCGGTAACGGGCCAGGTTTTAAAATACGATGAAAATTTTGAAAGTTTTCACTATATGATTCAAGAACTTTTTATGCTCAAGATGTGAATCAACGTCGCGATGCTTGACAAACTCACATTTCATCATACCTAACCACTACCACCCCATGATTCTTTTTGACAGTCTTTAGATGTTTTTTCCATAAATGATGCATGCAATATAAGACTGGAACACGTACTTAAAAAACTTTCAACTTTCCATGACCGAAAAAAATCTCCCAGTTTTTTCTCCCATTGTATATTCTTTGCAGAGATTCTGTCAACTAAAATGAAGTGAGTTATGAAGCTATTTGACAATAATTAGTTCAATCATTTCGACTGTAATTTTTGACTTACTTGATGCTAAAATCGAAACCCACAAAAACAGTATACGAACCATCTATACAAAAGGAGAAAACGCTGTATGTTCAACATCTCACAGTGAAGTACCTGGTTCCTACCATACAGGGAATCCGTACAAATAAATATGTATGCATTAAAATGGAACAGCATGAAATAATTTAGTCTGCAATAGGCGGTTTCCATGCATGTTACATTACGGTCACCATATTGGATGTCAAAAACAAAGAAAAATTTATCAATGCTATTGTGAGCATTAACCATCGTTGTCGAGCCACGTTGTTTGATAATTTCTTCAGGGTAGTTGCAATCCAAGAAAAGCTATTTGTTCCGCTTGGTTTATTTATTTGCACGCTAGTTTTGTTCATGCTCGTTGCAACTTTTTAAAAACATGAGTACGTTTTTGTTTCTGTTATATCGCGGCTTATGTCACTTTAATTTTACAAAAATTTTGCATAAAAAATTTAAGATGAAAATCAGTGTATGACAGTACTTTAATTTAACTCGTTTTGCTTTAACTAATATTTAGTGATGTAAAGTGGGGCACTTGGGGAGGAGCCCCTTCTACTTTTTAAATGGGAAATTTTTCATAATTTCATGGCTTCAGCTTCGTCAAGAGGGCCCCCATCTGATAAATTTAGTTCTACATCACTGCTAATATTGTACAAACCTTATGAAATCTCAGTAACGCTGAGCTGTTGAGTTCTGTTATGATTCAGGCTTAAGCCCAATTTCCATAATCGAACCGTCTCGACGATTACAGAGATTTTATGGAAACCTTTTCGAGACGATCGAAACGAATGAGATGATCAAAGCGATTACAATCGTCTGGATAGAGCTCTGTTCTAGGATCTCTGTTCTATTCAGACGATTGAAACGATTGCGTGGGATATTGTCCCTGCACGCTTTAAGACGACTGAAACGACTAAGACGATCGAGACGGTTATATGGAAACTGGTCTTTAGAGGGTCATTTAGGTGCGATCCATGATCCTAGCTACAATACAGACTCAGTCCGTTTGATTTTTCGTGTAAAAAAGTAAGGAAGTATTTGTGCGTGGTTGGTGAGTTGAATCAGGCACTCTTCTACCATCTGGCACATATAGCAGGGAGCATTTTTAGACAGATTTTGGAGGAGCTAGAGTTCAGCAAAAAGGTGAAGCCGCGGAGAAAAATTCGCAAATTGAAAGCATTGCAAACTAAAAACAATGCTTCTATACCAGAAAGAAGGAGCACTTTAACTCAAAACTAAAGCATTCGATTCAACTTTTTCTGAAATATATGTGTCGTTGACAGTTCTTTTATTTAACAATTAAATTGGTGTTAAAAAACAAAATATTAAAACATAAAACGCACTTCTTACCATGTTGTGAATGGCTTTCTATTTTCGTGAGAGTCCACGCATTCTACACTCGTGTTTTATTCATACAATCAATTTGTAGTCGCCATGTTGGCTTAGTTCAACAAAATCATTTTGCTTCAAAATAAAAGTTATCGTTTTATTTTAGAACCCCCGAATGCATTTGGTGTTATTCTTTTCATTAAAATCATTTATGTGTTCAAGAAACTATCATTATCTTTTTGGTCGGTGCAAGATTTTTGATTGTTTTATTTTAATGAAAAATGAAGACATACAATTTATAAGGATCGAAAAAAGATAGGTATATTGTATAATGATTATCTGTTAGGTTGTCGTACGTAGAGCAATCGATTTATTAAATCAAATGCTTGAAATATCTCCAGGTAATAGGAATAATCTTCTTGTATTTAGTTGTTAGTCGTTTTTGACTAAAATTACAATACATGCATACGTGACATTATAATAACTGCAGTATCATGCATCATACTCTCTGATTCGTTCGCTTGTGGTTGATGATTAATGAAATTCCAGTGAAGAATCTCTTAAGGACGATAGGTCATAAGTATAGGAGAAAGTAAAGATGACCTGTTTGTATGTGTCTGCTTAGATATCAATTCATCAAATATGTTTTTTATGTTTGTGCTGTCTTAAGATAAAACTATTTGTAGCGTGATACACACTACTGCATGTAACTCTTTCAACTATATTCACTGCTATGCAAATTAGTTTCTTTAGAAATTAATTTGATGTATTATTTTTTCAGTGAATGAACATAAGAATATTTGCATAGAAAGAGCTGAAAGCAGACTAGCTTCGCCACTGCTGACGCTATTGTTAAGCTAGTTGACAGATATCTGTTGAAACATGTTTTGCAAACGCATTTTTTGCTGTTTGATCAGATTTGAAATATGTTTTGTTTTTATTGATCAAGTGTTTGGTAAAATGGATTATAAAATGCTCATTATTGGATTTATTCGCATTTCACAACACTTCATGTTCAACTCGATTGTTAAGACTTAATTTGTTGGAAATCAATACACCAATAGAACTGTTTCAAAGGTAGTTCGAAATAAAAATATAACTGCGCTATATTTTTTTGCCTAATCTTAACTGGATTTACAACAGATAAAAACCATCGCGAAGCATGCCACCTTACCTTTAAAACTCTGAGCCTTTCATTAATCGACATATGAAGCCATTTAGTAATTATTAATTGATGCAAACTCAAATATTTAAAACGCGAAACCCTTTTTTTCCTTGGAAAAACGATGGAAAATATCGAATGTTTTCAATTTTCCAAAGTTATATGCTAAACTGCGAGCTTTGACCATGGTATAAAAATGAAAATTGGTATGAATTCATAGAAAACGACTAGAGAATGTGGTTTAATTTGTTTTCGTAAATTCATAAAAGTTACTTTACCACACGATATTGCTTCTTGAAGACTTTAAACTTGTGCAGGTCAAAATGCTTCCTTGATTGTCAGTCGAGTACCGTCTTTGTTATTGTTAATGTTGTTAAATGAAGAACATACAATAAAAGAGGGTTTTTGCTAATCTTGGCCTTCCTTGTTCATTTGCATTCATTATCGCAGTACAAGACTGTAGGGGGTCGTGCACAAGCGTTTAATCTTTAAACGAAAATTAGTAAAATGTACGTGAACATAATTGGTTTTATTAATGATTTTCTTCCCCTTTTAACTTACTCTTAGCAAATTTGTATGGTTGTTTTCCTCATCTACACAAAAGAAATGCCATACACATTAAAGTACGTCGATGGTAAGTTTTTGCTTTTCTTTGTAATATTGAGAACAAAGACTCTTACACTTTTCACAAAACACAACACTTTTCATATTTGGCCAGTGACGATTATTTGTTATTCGATTCACTAAAACTTTACTAAATGTTCATGAGTTTATAGAATGAACGTAAAAAAGCTAAAATTTTCTTTTCATAACGTATACGTTCGATAGTTAAATGAGCACAGTCGTGATGTTGCGACAATAATAGGACACGCTGTCGTGTGAATCTGTTGTCATGGTAATTGCTGAAACGCAGAGAATGAAATGCGAATTTAAAAATCATAAAATAATTATAAGGTTGTTATTGTCTGTACGTTAATTCTTTTGGTTTGCTACTACGATATGTTAGTTTAGCGAGTATTTATATATTCTCCAAAGAATAAAAGCAACTACATCAAACTCGTCTTACTTTAATTATGCCTTTCTGTGAATGACTTTTATTATGCGTTGTTAACCAAATCATTAATGCATTTATATAAGTATTACTTGTTCTTAAGTGAGAAGATAGCTTTGTAGATAAATGGATATTTTTTAAAAACGTACACTTGTGGAATCAAGCGTCTGTTGTCAAACTCGAAGACTTTTTGTAAAATTTACCCTGCTTTTGGAATCATAAGATATTGTATTATGACGGACGAACATCCGTTTTGGTATAAGAAAAGATGTTGAAAGAGAGTTAAGAGACGAATCAAACATTCGATTTTATCAGTTGCCGCTTTTTCTACGTAGATAATATGCTTGCACGCTTTGAAAGAACGAGACGAAAGCGTCGAGGGTAGAAGAAACAAATCTTTGTTACGTGTGCATTCTATTGTTTTATAATCAACTGTTTTGATTTTCACGATCAAAATTCACTTGAAATACGCAGAAACGCTTTTGTTTTATTTTTATTTGACATGACGAAAAATAAAGTGTATAATATTGGCGATATAGGTCGATTTATTAATTTTATTGGTACGGTGGCCTGTACGGGTCCCCAGAAAAATAATTTAAAAAACATAACAAAAAATAAGAAAACATCACTCAAAATCATACTACACATTTTAAAATAGTCGCTACACATTTCAAAACACTCACTACAAATTTCAAAATACCCACTACCCACTTCAAAATACTCACTACACGTTTCAAAATACTCAGTACACATTTCAAAATACTCACTACACATTTCAAAATACTCACTACACATTCGTCCCAGTCTTACCCTGACCAGTGGCCTACCCACGGTCGTCATTAGTTTCCATCTATGAAACTGACGTGACATCATAAAGTAAGCATATTAAATATATAATTCTGCATTTCACAAGACAAACAAATTGGGACATTGGGATAATAGCATGAAAATATTGGCTGAACTCTAATCAGAAATTCTTCCAGGGTTTTGCTGGACTTGGTCGGGCAACAACATTAGTAGACGATCTACATATCGCAAGCAAATGTATTTGCAGTGGCTTTCGACACATGTCCGTACTTTAATAGCAAAAATTTGAGTATATGAATTTGCATTCGCTAGGTCGCGTACGTACTTATGTGATGCGTTACAAAAACAACAAGGAAACCAAAGAAGAAATTTGCACATAGCGTATAACTTGTTTCATAAGAAACACCAACGAAAATGAAAAGTTCGGTAATTTCGAGTAAAAGCAATAAATTTAGAACTTCAATACCAGTCACGTCAATAAGTGCATTAGTTAAACTAACGACTTTCGAATATAACCAATACAATACAATTACATGCAATCTGTAGATTGACCACTCATGTTGTGTTGTTTAACCAAGACCAAGAAATCCCTGGAAGAAATATTACTAATAGTTCATGTACGCGTATTGCATATTTTGATGCTATTGTGGCGATATGTTTGTCTATGTGCCGAATTCCACATAGACAGGCATATCGCCACAATAGCATCAAAATATCCTTACGCGTACTGAAGTATTATTAATATCGGAAGGGTATATTCATATTAGCTTTCTGACGTCACGTCAATTTCGTATATGGAAACTAATGACGACCGTGGGTATTTTGAAATGTGTAGTGAGTATTTTGAAATGTGCAGTGAGTATTTTAAAATGTGTAGTATGATTTTGAGTGTTGTTTTCTTATTCTTTGTTATGTTTTTTCAATTATTTTTCTGGTGATCCGGACAGGCCACCGTACATTGGCGCTATGTCTGCAAGGATTTTCAATTCGTGTAAAGAACAATTAATCTATAATATTCGTTGACTTCAGCATAAAACAAAAAGCTGGTGTACAAAAAGCTTGTAAGACATAATTGCGTATGATAGGCCTAATGGCAAATGTCGTCTAAAGGCCACCGGGCCACGGCAAAATTACCAAATCAACTGCCAAAGTGCACGTCAAAACAATGATAAATCTTGCTATAAAACCATGCTTTAAAATTTCAAAACTCATGGTAATGCCACGTTAGTTTCACGTAGAAGTGGGAAACGCGGAAGGGAATGTTGTAGAGCTACACGTTATTGCTTTTATTGGAGTATGCGCTATTTATGAAAATAAAATGAAAGCCGCTTGTTTTATGAAATGTTTGTTCGTGTTGCCATCAGCTTATAGACATGTCTGCTACGTTTTGTTTACTTACCTTGTATTTTATTCATGCTCTATGTCATTATCTCCTTTCAATTTCTTAAGTCATTTGTGAAATATATGTATATAACTAAACCCACGAGGTTTTGTAAGGAAGTTAATAAGTATATAGCTGTAGCACAACAAGGGCAACGATAGATCACTTTTTAATTTATTCTTCGCGAATGAAATGATATTTTATGTCAATGTGTTTCGTTCTTTGATGGTATTTCTGATTTTTCGACAAACTTATTGCTCCTTGATTATCCTCTTTTATGATAGTTGGTTCCTTTTGAGTGAAGTTTAAATCACGCAGTAATCCTCTTAACCATATTGCTTCTTGACATGCTTGTGATGCTGCAACATACTCAGCTTCAGTAGATGAGAGAGCTACAGTACTTTGCTTTTTGCTTGCCCAACTTACCAATCCACCACAAATCATGAATAGGTATCCCGAATGTGATTTTCGATTATTTGGATCACATCCCCAATCAGCATCAACAAATCCACTTAATTTGACTTCAGATTCCTTATGTCCATCAAAGCAAATGCCGTAGTTAATCGCACCTTTAATCTAACGTAAAATACGTTTGGCAGCATTCCAATGGTTTTGGCTAGGGTTAGCACAGAATTGATTAACTGATGAAAGTGCTTGTGCCAGGTCTGGTCTTGTCGCTGTAACTGCATACGTTAATGCACCAATTAACGCTTGATATTTGGTTATGTTCATTGGCTCTCCTTCATTATTCAACAACTTGGTTCCTAGCTCAACGGGAGTTGCAACAGGTTTGCAGTCTTGCATTCCAAATCTCTTCAATAAATTCGTCAAATACTTTGATTGATGAAGTCGCATTTGTTTCTTTTCCCTGTCTCGTTGAATTTGACCAAGACGGAAATGAATTTCACTTAGATCTTTCATTTCAAAGCGTTTCTTTAAAATACCTTTCTCCTCTTCTAGCATTTTCTTGTTGTTACTTGCAAGAATCAAATCATCGACGTATAACGCTAAAAGCATGATATTATCTCCCTTTCGTTTAATGTACAGGCACGGATCAGAATTGGATTGAACGTAGCCGGATTTCTTTAAGAACTGATCAATGGTATCAAACCAGCATCTCGAAGATTGCTTCAAGCCATATATGCTTTTGTTTAATTTACAGACCTTCTGTTCTTGTCCCTTTTTCTCATATCCTTCAGGTTGCTTCATATATATTTCCTCTTTAAGTTCGCCAATCAGAAATGCCGTCGACACATCCATTTGGTGTACGTCCAAATCTATCTGACTAGCAATTGCCAAGAGAAAGCGAATTGATGTATATTTTGCTACTGGAGAAAATTTTCCTTCATAATCCAAACCATATTCTTGTAAGTATCCTTTAGCAACTAACCGAGCTTTATGTCGTTCAATTGAACCGTCTGCTTTGTACTTTACTTTGAATATCCATCAAGAATCTATGTCTTTACGATCTTTAGGTAAGTCAACCAATGTCCACGTATTGTTTTTTATGTGGGAAGAATATTCACTGTCCATTGCTTGTTTCCATTTTGCCTTATCTGGACTATCAAAAGCTTCATTAATGTTGAGTGGCTCATCGTGACGGATAGATTCATCATCAATGCTAGCGACATTGTTCTGCCACCAATTACCTGTGATTACCACACCATGTCTATCAGGAGATTTGTGTATTCGTGCTGATCGTCGTAGTTGTTGTTATTCATCTATCATGCTGTTGTTGGAACTATCTTCCATTTCTTCATTGACTTCATGTTCTTCATTGTCTTCTAATAGTTCATCATTTCGTTTTTCGGTCACAGTATCTTTATCATATCCATGTATTACTATATTAGATTTCTTTCGTCGATCAAATGAGCTTTCGTCAAATAACACGTCTCTTGATATGTGAATTTTACCAGTTGAAGCGTCGTAGAGTCGATAACCTTTACTTGTGAGGCTGTACACAACAAATGTGCATTTCTTGGTTTTCGAGTCCCATTTTTTCCTTGTTTCCTTAGGAACGTGCATGTAAGGTGTGCAACCAAAAATTCTTAGATGTGAAACATCAGGTTTCTTAGAATGGAAACATTCGTAAGGTGTAACTCCGTTCACGGATACAGTAGGACTTCGATTTCTTAAGATGACTGCAGTATGAACTGCTTCAGCCCAGAATTTCTTTTGTA